GGGGGAGGGGTCTGGGAGCTCATTTGGGATCCGGGGGGATTTTAGGGGGGGAGGGGTCTGGAGAGTCACGTGGTGCCCGGGTGGGGGAGGGGAGTGAGAGGTCACGTGGGAACCGATCCCGGGAGGGGGGAGGGGGGCTCTGTCCCCGGTGGGATCCCGAGGTCACGTGGTCAGAGGTCAAAGGTCACCCCCCCCAGGTCACGGCCACCACCCCGCATTTCCCGCACCACGTGACTGCCCCTCCCCACCACGTGACTCCCGCCCCCGCCGCGCCCCCCGCTCACCATAGCGCCGTGTCCCGCGGGCGGGGCCGCGGGCGGGGCCGCGGGCGGGGCCCGGGGGTCCGGGGGGGGTCGGGGAGGGGGTCCCGGAGGGGTCCCGGGGGTCGGGGGGGGTCGGACGGGGCCGCTCCGCGCCTCCGGCAGCGCCGCGCCGGGCCCGCCGCTTCCGGGTGTGACGTCACCGCGCATGCGCCGGCGCCCCCCGGGGCGTGGCCTGTCGCCGTGGCAACGGGAGAAAGGGGCGTGGCCTAGGGGGGCGAGGAAAATGGGAGGGGCTTCCCGCCGAAGGGGCGGGGTTTCCATAGCAACGGGGAGGGGCGGGACCTGTCGCCATGGGAACCGGGGCGCGCTTCCCGCCAGGGGGCGGCTGTTGCCGTGGTAACGGGGAGGGGGCGTGGCCTTGGCAATGCGGCGTAGCCGGGTAACGGTTGCTATGGGGATGTTGCCATGGCAACGGAGGGCAGAATTGGGAGGGAGGGGGAATTTGGGATCTTTTGGGGGAGGTTTGGGGTGAAAAAGGGGAATTTGGGGTGCTCGGGTTGAAACAGCCCATTGGGACATGGCAGTGACCCCGAGCCCAGGACAGGAGTGACCCCAGAGTGACCCCAGAGTGACCCCAGAGTGACCCCAGGACAGGGGTGACCCCGGAGTGACCCCAGAGTGACCCCAGAGTGACCCCAGGACAGGGGTGACCTCAGAGTGACCCCAGGACAGGGGTGACCCCAGAGTGACCCCAGAGTGACCCCAGAGTGACCCCAGGACAGGGGTGACCTCAGAGTGACCCCAGGACAGGGGTGACCCCAGAGTGACCCCAGAGTGACCCCAGAGTGACCCCAGGAGAGGCCAGGAGTGACCCCAGAGTGACCCCAGGACAGGAGTGACCCCAGTGTGGGATGATCCCAGTGTGGGGTGATCCCAGTTTGGGGTGATCCCAGTTTGGGGTGACCCCTGTGCCCCACATCCCTGTGGGAACACCTGGATGTGCCCCGGGACACACCTGGACGTGTCCTGGGACACACCTGGACATGTCCTGGGACACACCTGGACGTTCCCACCGGACACACCTGGACGTGTCCTGGGACACACCTGGACGCTCCCTGAGGAACCTCCTGGAGCTCAGGTGGTGCCACCATGCCCGGAAGGACACCTGGTGCCCCGTGCCACCACACGTGCCGGGAAAAGGGCGTAATCCTCACCGGATCGGTTCCTCCCACCTCGTTTTATTGCGACCAAAGGTCCCACCCAGGTGTTTTTTCCGTGTCCTGGATCCCAGGGACGGATCCGTGTGCCCGGCTCTGCCCCGCAAGCTCCGGGGCCATGGGGGGACGGTGGTGGCCGTGGGGCAGCCGGGCCCTGCTCTGCGTCTGCGTCCTGGTCGCCGTCACAGGTGGGAGCTGCTGGCACCTCTCCAGCCCTGGTGGCACCGGGACCCCTCCCCAACCCTGGTGGCACCTCTCCAACCCTGGTGGCACCGGGACCCCTCCCCAACCCTGGTGGCACCAGAACCCCTCCCCAGCCCTGGTGGCACCTCTCCAGCCCTGGTGGCACCAGGACCTCTCCTCAGTTCTGGTGGCACCAGGACCCCTCCCCAACCCTGGTGGCACCGGGACTCCCTCCCCAGCCCTGGTGGCACCGGGACCTTTCCCCAACCCTGGTGGCACCGGGACCCCTCCCCAGCCCTGGTGGCACTGGGACCCCTCCCCAACCCTGGTGGCACCAGGACCTCTCCTCAGTTCTGGTGGCACCAGGACCCCTCCCCAGCCCTGGTGGCACCAGGACCCCTCCCCAGCTCCAGGACCCCTCCCCACCCCATGGCAGGAGGGCCCCAGAACCTCGAGTTTGGAAATGGGGTGGGACCGGGATCACCCAAAGGACGTGGGGCTGGCAGCAAACAGAAAGAACTGGGGTCTTCAGGGGGGGTCTGGGGGTCTTTGGGACCCAGCTGGTGGGTTCAGAACCCAGTTGGGGTCTTGGGAAGTGTCTTTGGAGAACCAAGGGTGGGTCTTGGGGGGACGTTGTGGATGGGGTTCTTTGGAGGTCCAGGGGTCTCTTGGTTCAGGTCCAGGATCTTTGTTTGGGGGTCCAGGGGTCTCTTGGGGGGGGACAGAGATCTTTGTTTGGGGGTCGAGGGTCTTTGTTTGGGGGTCTGAGATCTTTGTTTGGGGGTCCAGGGGTCTTTGGGACCCAGCTGGGGGTCTGGAGGGTCTTTGGGAATCTTGGTGGCATTTTTGGAGAGCCAAGGTTGGGTTTTGGAGGGATGTGGTGGGTGGGGATGGTTTTGGAGACCTGGAGATCTTTGGAGGGGGCTCCAGGGGCCGCAGGGGGGGTCCCGGGGTCTTTGTTTGGGAGTCCAGGGGGTCTTTTGAGGGGGGCCTGTGGGTTTTTGAGGTGGATCCATGGATCTCTGGGGGGATCTGGAGGGTCTGGGGAGTCTTGGGGTCATCTTTGGAGAACCAAGGTTTTGGGGGGGATGTTGGCATGTGGTGGGCGAGGGTCTTCAGGGGTCCAGGGGTCTTTGGGGGTCCGGGGGGTTTGGGGGGTCGGGGGGTCGTGGGGGGTCGGGGGGTCTTTGGGGAGGTCCAGGGGTCTTTTTGGGGGGGGTCCCAGGGGTCTTTTGAGGGGGGTCTGTGGGTTTTTGGGGTGGGTCCGTGAGTCTTTGGGACCCAGTCTTGAAGGTCTGGAGAGTCCTGGGGTCATCTTTGGAGAACCAAGGATGGGTTTTTGGGGGGACGTTGGTCTGTGGTGGGTGAGGGTCTTCGGGGGTCCAAAGGTCTTTGGGGAGGTCCAGGGGTCTTTGGGGGGGGGGGGTCAATGGATTTTTGGGGTCACAGGGCTTTGGGATCCGTCTGGGGGGGTCTTGGGACCCACCTGGGAGTCCTTGGGGCATCTTTGGGGCATCTTTGAAGAACCAGGGTTGGGTTTTTGGGGGGTTTGTTGGTCTGGGGTGGGTGAGGGTCTTGAGGGGTCCAGAGGAGTTTGAGGAGGGGTCAGTGGATCTTTGGGTTCACGAGGTTCTGGGGTCCAACCGGGGGTGTTGAGACCCAGCAGGGGGGCTTGGGAATCCTTGGGGAACGTTTGGAGATCCAAGGTGGGGTTTGGGAAGGGTTGGTCTGCTGTGGGTGGGGGTCCCTGAGGGGCTCCAGGTGTCTCTGGGGAGCTCCAGGCGTCCTTGGGGCTCCGCAGGCTTTGGTGGCCAACGGGATTTGGGAGATGTCACTGAGGTCGGCCAGGGCAGGTCCTTCACCTGCAGGAGATGGTGGAATGTCCACACCAAGGGCGTGGCTGTCCTGGGGTGACGTGGCCACCGCTACTCCAGCAGGGACAACCACGGACGACACCATGGACAGCTCTACTGCACCCCTGACCCTGTCTACGAACACAGCTGTCACCCCCAGCATGGACACGGCCACCGACACCAACCCTCCTGAGATCTCCAGCCCATCTTCCACCTCGGATGTCACCCCTGAGATGGACACGGCCACCATCACCAGCCCTCCTGAGATCTCCACTCCATCTTCCACCTTGGATGTCACCCCTGACGTGGACACAGCTACTGCACCCACCAACCCTCCTGATATCTCCACTCCATCTTCCACCTTGACTGCCACCCCTGACATGGACACGGCCACCATCACCAACCCTCCTGAGATCTCCAGCCCATCTTCCACCTCAGATGTTACACCTGATATGGACACGTCCACCACACCCAACACCAACCCTGCTGAGATCTCCATCTCCCATCTCCACTGCCACCCCTGACATGGACACAGCCACCCCCACCCTGACCATGACCCCCACCCCATCTTCCACCCCAACTGTCCCCACCATCACCACCAGCAGCATTACCACCAGTGCAACCACCAGAGCCATGACAACCACGGTCACGAGTCCAGGTGAGTCTGTCTCCTTGGTGGCCCTCCATAACCACGTCCCTTTTCCCTTACCTGTCCCCAGCTTTCTCCAGGTGTCTCCTGGGGTTCCTCCAGGCCGTGTCACAGCACCTTTTGTTCTTGGTTCCCTCTGCCAGGTCAGTGCCAGAACGGTGGCACGTGGGACGGTGGCAAGTGTTTGTGTCCCGAGGGCTTCCAAGGTGACTTCTGCGAGGAGCCCGTCTGCCAGAATGGGGGCACCTGGGACAACGGCCTCTGCCAGTGCACCCAGAACTTCCGAGGGGACAGGTGCCAGTTCGCCAAGGACATCGTGGAGATCAGCGATGGTAGGGGACTGTCCCAAGGTGCTGTGGGGCGGCCATCAGAGCAGGATCTGGGCTGAGGTCACCTTTGAGGGGTCAGCCGGGGGTTGGGACCACTGTGAGGGTCTGACCTGGGATTTGGACCACCATGGAGGGACAGATGTGGGATGGGGACCACCTCAGAGGGATCAGCCTGGGGACAGGACCACCAAGGAGGGACCAACCTGGGGATGGGGCCACCACGGAGGGGCTGACCCTGGGATGAGGTTGGGTCACCACAGAGGGACCAACCAAGAAACGGGGTCACCTTGGGGAGAGTGACCTGGGATTGGGGTCTCCATGGAGGGACCCCCTGGCCACGGTTCACCAGGGGTGGGATGGGGACAGCCAGGTCTCTTCCTCACGGTTGTCCTCTGCTAGAGCCAGTGATGATTAACGCCACGGTGGAGATGAAGACCAAAGTTGTCAACAGGAATTTGACTGATGAACTCAAAAATCCATCCTCAGATGCTTACAAGGACTTTGAGAAAATGTTCCAGGAGAAGGTCAGGACTCCGCAATGCCAGGGGTGGCCCTGGGGACAGTCCCTTGAGGGGGATGTGGGCCGTGATGGGCACCTGGCTCTTCCCTGGCTTCTCTTTGTCTTCAAGATGTTGAAGATTTATGGGCACATTAAGGACTACCAAGGTGTGGTCATGAAAAACCTGAGGTGAGTCTCCACCGGTGGCCAGGTGGGGTCCTGACCCTCTCCAGGGCTCCGGTGGGGTGGTTTGGGGTGAAGGGACCCATGGAGGTCAGTTTGAGGTGATTCCCCTCAAGTTTGGAGCATCTGCGTCCCTCCAAGCCACGCCGTGTCCATGGGGTTCCTCCAGGACAGTCCAGCCCCGTGTCACCGTGGTGTCCCTCCACACTGGGGATCCCATACTGGTCCCAGTTTGGTCCAGAGCCGAGCTCTGCCCCTTCTCCTCACAGCTCGGGCAGCATTGTGGTGGACTATGACGTCCTCCTGAAGGTCCCCGCCAGCTCCAGGGTCAACGACACGCTGAAGAACATCTCCAAGAACTTCATCACTGCCTTCCAAAACTACACCGACTGCGATGAGACCTGCACAGGGGACAAATGTGAGTGAGCCCAGGGGTCATCCCACCACCGTGACCACCATGACCACCATGACCACCATGACCATTCCCATCAGGTGCTCGGACCAGCACCGGCTCCTCGCTGAGGGCTGCTGGCCTTGGGGTGGCCCAGCAGCATCTCCTCTCTCCACGCCAGGTTCTTTCTGCTTCAACGCCACCGCCACCGAAGTCCTCAACTACAGGCTGGAACTGTTGGAAGAAGGCAAGCGAAGCCCATGGGGGTGTTTGGGTGTGTCCCACCCTCCGGAGCACCCCAAAACCTGAGCCCCGCGTCCCCACCCTCAGGTCTGTGCGACGCCTACATCCAGGAGGGCTTCCAAACCTTCTACAGACCATCCCTGACGGACACCGGCGTCATCTGCGTCACGCCCTGCGACGCCCGCCACGCCCACCCTCTGCCCTGCGTCCATGGCAGCTGCTCCGTCAGCCGGGCGGGGCCGCAGTGCCAGTAAGGACCCGGTCCCCAAAAACGGGTGGTCCCCCTCCGCATCCCGTGGGTGTCACCGTCACCATCCCCATGATCTGCCCACCATGGTGACCCCCATGATGGCCTCACAACTGTGACCACCCCATTCCTGTGATCCCCATGATCATCCCCGTCTCCCATGACTTCTGTGATGGCCTCACAACTGTGACCACCCCATTCCCATGACCACGCCCAACACCGTGACCCTCATGATGACCCTAATACCGTGACCACCCAACCATGGCCATGATGACCCCAACCCCCACCACCACCATGGCCACCCCCACCATCCATGAGCATCATGACCCCTATGACAACCCCACTGCCATGATCCCCATGGTGACCCCACCACCATGACGCCCATGACCCCCAGAACCCTCCATGTCAACCTCACTGCCATGACCTTCATGACCATGGTGACCTCACCACCATGACCACCATGACCACCATGCCCTCCATGACAACCCCACTGCCATGACCTCCATGACTATGATGACCCCACCACCATGACCACCATGACCACCATGATCACCATGACCTCCATGACCATGATGACCCCACCACCATGACCACCATGACCACCATGATCACCATGACCTCCATGACCATGATGACCCCACCACCATGACCACCATGACCACCATGATCACCATGACCTCCATGACCATGATGACCCCACCACCATGACCACCATGACCACCATGACCACCATGACCACCCCCACCAGGTGCTCGGACCAGCTGATCTTCTGGTACCAGGACAAAGCCTGCAGGTCTCGTGTCAGCAAGGTGGGCGTGGCCGTAGGGGTTCCGGTGGCCATCTTGGTCCTGGTCACCACCATCTTCACCGTCCTCCTGCTGAGGTCTCGGCGGCAGAAGGAACAGTACAGGTAAATGTGTCACCGTGGGGTGAGCCGGGGGGTCCCGTGGTGGTCGCGAGTCTCATCCGTGTCGGTCCCACCACGCAGGGAAAAGCTGAGGTCCCGCTCGGAGCTGTACAGCAGCAACGACGAGAACTGGGACGCGTCGCAAGGCTTCGCCGTGGGGAACCCGGCGGCCACCTGGGAAGGTAACGGGGATGGAGGTGGGGATGGAGGTGGGGACGGCGTGGGGGTCTCTGTGGCACCCAGGGGTCCACAGCACCTCTTCTTCCACCCCACAGACATGGAGACCTCCAGCACGCCCTACATCAACCTGGAGATGGTGGACACCTCGAGGACGGTGGGTGACACCACCCCTGATGTTGTCCTCCTTTTATCCCCCACCCCATCATCATCATCCTCCCCTCTCCTTCCTCCCCAGATGCACATCCGGAGACCGACCGTGGTCCCACCAGTGGGGCCACCCGAAAGCCAGCGGGGACAGGACGCGGGGACACGGAGATAGGCAGAGGGGGGACACAGGGACACGAGGACATAGGGACACGGGGACACGGCAGTGACGAGCAGCGGGAAATCCACCATCCTCTTCCTCCCCGCGCAGCTGTTTGCACAGAGAACTTTTTATAATTAATTATAATTAAGTATATCCTTTGTTTTATTGTCACCTCTCCGCTTCCTGCTGGGGACACCGGGTGGCTCCGTGACAGGGTGGGGGCTGGGCTGGGGACGCAGATCCAAGTAAAACACATTTCAAAGAGGAAAAGAAATTAATTGGGGGTGAGTTAATTGTTGACCGAGCGATCGGGAACCGCCCTTGGGACACCCCGACCCCGCTGGGTGACGTGTGTTGGGAGAACGTGTCCTTGTCCCCAGCCCTGGAATGAAACCCTGGAGGTTCCTCCACACCTCATTCCCACGGGGACAAAGGGCTCGGAGCAGGGGGTGGGGCAGCTCTGGTGGCTCAAGGAGGAGGGGACATTGAGGGGGTCCCCAGGTGGTGCCACCCATGGGTGGGGGGGACGTTGGGGGGGTCCCCAGGTGGTATCACCCATGCTTGTGGGAGACATTGAGGGGGTCTCAAGGTGGACCACCATGACCATGTTCCCCACCACCACTATGACCACCACCCTCACCACCATGAGCACCACTCTCAGCACCATGACCACCACGACCACCATGACCACCACTCTCACACTCTCACCACCATGACCACCACTCACCACCATGACCACCATGACCACCATGACCACCACTCTCACACTCTCACCACCATGACCACCACTCACCACCATGACCACCATGACCACCATGACCACCACTCTCACACTCTCACCACCATGACCACCACTCACCACCATGACCACCATGACCACCATGACCACCACTCTCACACTCTCACCACCATGACCACCATGACCACCCTCACCACCACTCTCACACCCTCACCACCATGACCACCATGACCACCAAGACCACCCCACCCTCACCACCCCCATGATTCCCCAACCATGTCCCCCACGACCACCCTCAATCCCATGACCCCCCACAACCCCCATGACCGCTCCAGTCCCAACACCACCCCACCACCGTGACCACCACCACCACCCTCTCCCACACCACGGCTGGGTCAGGAGGACACGTCCCGTTCTCGTGGTGGCACTTGGCCCTCAGCCAATTCCCGCCCCACCCCCTCGGGCCAAAATCAACATTTTCATGTTTTTCATTCCACCCTTCTTGGCAGCCGGAGCCGGGGACAAAGTCCCAAACACCTGGAGGTGTGGCCAGGTGTGGCCCCAAACACACCTGGCAGCTGCTGGAATGCGGTGGGAGTGTCCCCTGCTGGAACGGGGGTGGGGTCCAGGTGGTCATGGAGGTGTCACCCCCAAAAGTAGCTCTAGAAGGGTGGTGGGGACGTTTGTCCGGTCCCCAAGCTGTCGTTGGGGTTGTGCCAGTACAAACCAGTGACACCAGAGACATTTGAGTGACTTCATTAAGAACGAGAGGGTCCAGCCCCCTTTTTTGGGTCTGGGGGGATCGTCATCCTTGGATTTGGGGACATGACCTTGGAGGTGGGGACATGACCTTGGAGGTGGGGACATGACCTTGGAGGTGGGGACATGACCTTGGAGATGGGGACATGACCTTTTAGGTGGGGTCAGGACCCAAAAGTGCTGCTGGAGGTGAGGTCACATCCTAAAAGTGGGGTCATGACCCTAAAAGTGCTCACAGGAGGAGGATGAAGATGAGGGCAGGGGGTCAAGGTCCCCCCCTCCAGCCCAGGAGAAGGTCCAGGTTGTCCTGCAGTGATGGGTGGGACCTCGTTCCATGGGGGTGGTGATGGAGATGGTGGTGATGATGATGATGACGATGATGATGACGATGATGATGGTGATGATGATGGTGATGATGATGGTGATGATGATGATGATGATGATGATGATGATGATGATGATGGTGAGGTTCCGGTGGTGGAAATCACCACCCCATGGGTGCTCCCCACCCCACCACGTCTCAGAACTTTGTGATGAGCTTCTGTGGCCGTGGGATTTGGATCTGTTGGGATGCACCGGAGAAGATCCGGGGGACATCGGGGTGTCAGGAACATCTGGGGTGTCTCCACCGCCCTGGGCCCACCACGGTGGGAGGGCAGAGGGAACTCACCGGCTTCGATATGTCCACGGCCTCAAGGTGGACTGGATGGTCACCCTCGAGCTGGACACCTGTGGGACAGGGGGGCTCAGTAGGGGTGCTTGGGGTGGGGATGGGAGACACCAACCAACTCCACCACCCCAGTGGGGTCACCAGAGACCCCCCACTCACTCCACACCCACCTTGGTTCTGGAAGGTGAAGCTTCCTTGGGGGCTCCACTCCTCTCTGGTGTCCTGGTACCACCTCTCCATTATCTTCTGCTCAGCCCTGGGGATGGGACAGGGAGTGCGTGGGGTCACCATCAGCAGGTCCATCCCTTCCTGGACCACCCCCAGCTCCTCCGTACCCCTTCAAAGCACCGAGGTCCCTCCCAACCCTCAGGACCTCGTTGAGGATGAGGAACATCTCAGGAACCAACACCCCCGGGAGACCCTCCCAAACCTGTCCCCTCTCACATGTCAAAGGACCCGGATCTGCGAGCTCGGAAGAGGAAGATGGAGAGGACGGCGACCACGGTGACCAGGATGGCCACGGCCAAGCCCAGGCCCACAGCCAGTTTGCTGACCCGCGACGTGCAGCGGTCGTCTTGGTACCAGTACAGGTGGGTCTCATCACAGCTGGTGGGGGGACACAAAGGGGTCAACCCAAAGCTGGGACCCCCAGAAGAAACCCCTCCCACCCCAACCTCCTTCCTGCAGCCTCAAGCCCTCCTTAAAGCAAGACTCTGCTCCACCTCAGGGGTTTAACCCTGGAGATGATCGTGGAGATCCCTCAGAAGGTTTGGATCCGTGTAGAGGAAGACCCTACACTGACCTCAATGACTTTTGACCTCTTGTTCTGCAAAGAAAACCTTGGAGCTGGGCCTGGAGTTACACCAGAAGGGTTCAGATCCACCTGGACCGAGACCCTGCTCCAACTCTGATGGTTTTTGACCCATCTCCATGCACGGAGGAGCTTGGAAAGGATTCTGAAGATCCACCAGAAGGTTGGATCACGTAGACCAAGAATCTGCTCCAGCCCCGATGATCCTTGATGCATTCCCATGCAGCAAGCAGCTCGGAAATGACCATGGAGATCCACCAGAAGGGTTGGGTGAGGGTCCCATGTGGGACAGCTTTGGAGGAGGAGAAGTTTCCTCCAGCCCTTACAAGCACTGAGGACCTCTGAGGGTGACGTGGCACGTGCCGCGGTTGCAGTCGATGGTGCTGGCGGTGCCCGGCGTGCAGTTGGACATGCAGGACAAGCCGGAGCTCGTCAGGTTGGGAAAGAAGAATTCCCGGTAGCCCTCGGGCGCTTGGCTCCGGCAGTAGGCTGGAGATGGGGGGAGAGGTCAACCGGGAAGGGTCTGGAGACCCCAGACCCAGGTGGGTCCCCACCGCCCTCCATCCACTCACCATCTTCATCGAATTCCAGCGGGGTGTTGGTGATCACCACCTCGGAGGGGTTGAAGCACAGGTCACCTGTAAGAGAGGTCACACTGCGGGGGAACAGCCCCACAGCCCCTCCCGGGGGTGTCCGGGGTGGTTTGGGTGGCTGGGAAGGTGTCCCCCACCCCAAGGATGGCCCTGGTTGTCCCCACCCCCATGGTGGGAAGGTGACGAGGTACCGTTGGTGCAGTTGAATTGCGTCGCCGCCACCTCGATCTTCTCCTGCAGGTTGGACGTGATGTTCTGGAGCTTCTCCTGGCTCTGGGCTGTCACCAGCAGGGACACGATGATGATGTGATCCACCACCACGCTGCCAGGCCTGGACAGAGACGCCACCATCGCGATCCAAACGCCCTTTTCCCATGGAATGACCCCAAAATCCTGGTCCCACCAATCCCGGCGCTCACCTGAGTCGCTGCACCTGGATGCCCTGGTACCCCTCGATGTCAGCGTAGACCGGGTCCATCTGGAAGGGAAGATGTCTCCAGGTGGGATGGTCGGGTCTGTTCCCTTCTCATCCTCCAGGATCTCACTCATTTTGGGTGTCCCCCTCCACCAAATCCATCCTGGTGGACTCGGAGAACACCACACGAGAACTCGGAGAACTTGGAGAACTCAGAGAACTCGGAGGACAGCATCCGGCAGCTCCACCAGGTAGATCCCAACCCCAGGTGAGGGTCTCGTGTCCCTTTACCTGCTTGGTGAAGTCCTGGATGAACTGAATGTAGGTGGGCGAGGTGGTGTCCTCAAGCTCCTCAGAGAAGTCCTGGTTGGTGACACGCAGCTCCACCTGCACCGTCCCGTTGGTCTCTGGGAATGTCCAAAACCAGGCCATGAAGGAGGTGGGGCAGAAGGACCTTCCCAGGCAGCTGGGACCCGTCAGTCTCCCCCTAGACCCCGTGGACTAGGGGGTTGTCGTGAAGGAACCAGGAGGAACATCCTCCACCCATCAGAAGAGACCACCACAGCTCCGTTTGGTGATCCCAGTAAGGACTGGGCCGTGTCCCATCTCCTCATTGTCCCACCTGGTCCTCCCAGGTGGATCCTGACCCTGCTGATGGTTTGGAGCTCAGTCATCCCCCATGTCCCAGAACTTCTCAGGTGGGTCCTGCACCTGCCTCACCCTCAGTGGGCAGCACCTGGTGGAACCACCACCTCTTCCCAGATCTTCAGGTCCTGAGAGACTCTGACACCCCTGCAGAGGAGGTTCTTTGGGATACCGTCACACCTGGCTCACCCCCACCTGGAGAACATCTCCAGATGGTCCTCACTCAGTCAGATCTTATCCCAACAACGGATGCATCCCAGAAAAAGACGGAATTCCTACCGGCGTTGGTTTCGATGGTGTTGGTGACGTAGTCACACCTGTCCCCGGTGAAGGTGGGGGGACACTGGCAGTGGTCTTTGACCCAGGTGCCCCCGTTGTTGCAGATCCCTGGAAGGAAAGGGGATGGAAAAGGAACGGGAAGGGACAGGGAAATGCGCCAGGGAGGAAGGAGAGGTGGGACGTACCTGGAGTGGTGGTGGAGTGGGGAGTGGTGGTGGTGGTGGTGGTTGTGGTGGTGGTTGTGGTGGTGGTTGTGGTGGTTCTATGGGTGGTTCTGGCGGTCCTAGGGGTGGTGCTGGTGGTTCTAGGGGTGGTAGTGGTGGTCCTAGGGGTGGTAGTGGTGGTCCTAGAGGTGGTTCTGGTGGTCTCAGGTGTGGTGGTGGTAGTTCCAGGGGTGATGGTGGTGGTCTCAGGTGTGGTGGTGGTCCCAGGTGTGATGGTGGTGGTTCCAGGTGTGATGGTGGTGCTTTCAGGGGTGGTGGTGGTAGTTCCAGGGGTGATGGTGGTGATCTCAGAGGTGATGGTGGTTCCAGGGATGGTGTTGGTGGTTCCAGGGGTAATGGTGGTGGTCCCAGGGTTGGCAGTGGTGGTCCTAGGGATGGTGGTGGTCTCAGGGATGGTGGTGGTACCAGGGAGGGTGGTGCTGGTGCCTGGTGTGGTGCTGGTGGTCCAAAGGGTGGTGGGAGGGGTCCCAGGAGTGGTGGTGGTGGCCCCAGGGGTGGTGGGGGAGGTCCCAGGAGTGGTGGTGGTTCCTGGAGTGGTGGTGGTCCCAGGGAGGGTGGTGGTCCCAGGGATGGTGGTGGTCTCACGGATTGTGGTTGTCTCCAGGGTGATGGTGGTGGTCCCAGGTGTGGTGGTAGCTGTTCCAGGACTGGTTGCGGTGGTTCCAGGGGCAGCGGTGGTCTCAGGGCTGGTGCTGGTTGTCCCACTGGCTGTGGTTCCAGGTTTCGTGGTTTCTCCAGGAGTGGTCGTGGTGCCAGGGCTGGTCATGGTGGTCTCAGAGACAGTGGTGGCAGTCCCAGGTGTGGTGGGAAAGGTCTCAGGGGTGGTGATGGTGGTCCCAGGAGTGGTGGTGGTCTCAGGGGTGCTGATGGTGGTCCCAGGAGTGGTGGTGGTCTCAGGAGTGGTGATGGTGGTCCCAGGAGTGGTGGTGGTTCCAGGGCCGGTCGTAGATCCAGGTGTGGTGGTGGTCTCAGGTGTGGTGGTGGTCCCAAGGATTGTCCCAGGACTACTGCCAGTCCCAGGGGTGGTTGTGGTTCCAAGGTTCATGGTGGTGGTCCCAGGGGTTGTGGTGGTCCCAGGGGTCATGGTGGTCCCAGGGGTCATGGTGGTCCCAGGACTGGTGGTGGTCCCAGGGATCATGGTGGTCCCAGGGGTCATGGTGGTCCCAGGACCAGCTGTGGTCGAAGGAACTGTTGGTGTCCCCGAGGTGGGGATGGTCTCAGGGACTGTGGTGGTCCACAGTGAGGTAGGGGTGTTCCCAGCACCTGTGGTGGCTCCAGGGTTGGTGGTGGTCTCAGGGGGTGTGGTAGTGCCAGGGGTGGGTGTGGTGGTCCACGGACCGGCTGTGGTGGTGCCAGGACCTGTGATGGTCCCTGGGGTAGTGGTGGTTCCAACGATTGCGGTGGTTGTCTCAGAGGGCCTCGTTTCTCCAGGGTTGGTGGTGGTCCAAGGTGAGGTAGGAGCGGTTCCTGAGCCGGTGGTGGTTCCAGGTGTCGCGGGTGTTTCAGGGGCTGGGGTGGACCAAGGTGAGACAGGGGTGGTCCCATCACTGGAGGTGGTCCAAGGGATGGTTGTGGTGGTCTCAGAGATTGAGGTGGTGGTCTCAGGACTGGTGGTTGCAGGGACAGTCATGGTGGTGCCAGGGGTCGCGGTTGTCTCAGGGGTGGTGGAGGTCTCATGTAGGGTGGTGGAGGTCTCAGGGAAGGTGGTGGTGGTCTCAGGGATGGGGGTCCCAGGAGTGGTTGTGGTGGTCTCAGGGATTGTGGAGGTCCCAGAACTGGTGATGGTGGCCCCAGGGACTGTGTTGGTCCCACTTATGGAGGTGGTGATCTCTGGGAAGCTGGTGGTGGTCCCAGGGGTCGTGGTGGTCCATGGGTTTGTGGTGGTCCATGGGATTGTGGTGGTCTCAGGAGTGGGTGTGGTCCAAAGTGAGGTAGAGGTGGCCCAAGGACCAGTCATAGTTCCAGGATTGCTGGTGGTCTCGGGGTGGGTGGTGACGCCAGGGGTGGATGTGGTGGTCCACGGAGAGGTTGTGGTTGTGCCAGGGTTTGTGGTTGTCCCTGGGCCAGGGGTGGTCCAAGGCATGGTGGTGATGGTCTCAGGACTGGTGATGGTTTCAGGACTGGTGATGGTTTCAGGGACAGTGATGGTTCCAGCTGTGATGGTGGTTTCAGGAGTTGGGGTGGTCTCAAAGCTTGTGGTGGCATCAGGGGTTTTGGTGGACCAAGATGAGGTAGGAGCGGTCCCAGGACCTGTGGTGGTCCCAGGGATTGTGGTGGTGGACTCAGGATTGGTGGTCTCAGGTGTTGTGGCCCCAGGGGCTGTGGTGGTCAAGGCATTGCTGATGGACCCAGAACTGGTGTGGGTGGTCTCAGGGTTTGCAGTTGTCTCAGGACTGGTGATGGTCTCAGGACTGGTGATGGTCTCGGGGGTGGTGATGGTCTCCAGAATGGTGGTGGTCTCAGGGATGGTGGTGGTCTCAGGGATGGTGATGGTCTCAGGGGTGACGGTGGTCTCAGGACTGGTGATGGTTTCAGGGGTGGTGATGGTCTCAGGGATGATGGTGGTCTCAAGAATGGTGGTGGTTCCAGGTATCATGGTTGTCCCAGAGGTTGTGGTGGTCCCAGCGCTGCTGCTGGTCTCAGGGGTGGTGATGGTCTCAGGTGTGATGGTTGTTTCAGGGGTTGTGGTGGCCTCAGAGGCGATGGTGGTCTCAGGTGTGGTGCTCATTCCAAAGGTGGGCGTGGTGGTCTCAGGGGTGATGGTCTCAGGGATGGTCTTGGTGGTGCCAGGGTCCCTAGAGGTGGTCCCAGGGCTGGTGGGGCTGGTCCCTGGGATGGTGCTGCTCTCAGGGGTCATGGCGCTGCCAGGGTTTGTGGTGGTTGTCTCAGGCCTGGGAGTGGTCTCCAGGATGGAGGTGGTTTCAGATGTCACGGATGTTCCTGAGGTTGTGATGGTCCCAGGGGTGCTGCTGGTCTCAGGGCTGGTGTTGGAGTCAGGTGTCACGGTTGTTTCAGGGGC